AACGAATTAATTAAAAAAAACAAAAGCTGAAAATTAAAAATGAGTTAAATTTACAACGAAAAAAGAAAAAAACAAAACATACAAGCAGAATAAAAAAAAGAAAAATAAATTAAATAAAAAACTAAAAATAAAATAAAAACAGTGAGTTAGTTAGTTAGTAAAATTGTTTTAAATTTATTTTTACATTCAAAAATATCACAATTCAAAAGAAGTAAACAGTTTTTACCCTAGATCAAGAACCAAATTTGTGAGATTTATACACTCTCCTAAACCACAACTTAACCACTATACACCTTCATCCTCAATATAATTTCTTCTATTTAAATATTTAAGAAAAAAATAAATAGTTAATTATTTAGTTTGAAGGAAAAAATGAAAAAAAATGAAATAATAAGAAATTAATAATTAATAAATGCAAAATTTCAAAATGAAAAAAAAATGATTTAAATTAACAAATAAAGAAAGTAAAAAACACACAAAGCAGAATAATAATAAAAAGAAAAATAAATAAAATATTAATAAATTCAAAGAGTTAGTTATTTTGTTTTAATTTCATTTTTATATTAACAAATATTACAATCCAATATTAATAAACTGTTTTTACCCTAGTTCAAGTTTTAATTTTTTGATGTTAGTTAATTTTCCTAAATCAAAACCTAAGTCCTATGCAGCATATTTATCAAATTAATTGTTTCTTTTTAAATATTGAAGAAAAAATATATTGTTAATTAGTAAGTTAGTAGAAGAAAAAAATATTAAATAATAAGAAAAGAAATATAAAGGGAAAAGTGTGATTTATCTAAACTAATTTTTTACAAGACTTTTATATAAATATATATTTTTTATTAGAAAAACTTAAATATAAAAAAATATTGTTAAAAGCTGATTTAGACGACATATTCCCCTTTATATAATGAATTCACTAAAAATATAAACAAAAGTTGAAAATTAAAAAATTAGTTAAATTAACAAAGAATAAGGAAGAAGAAGATAAAAAAGCACACACAAAAATAATAAAAAAAGAAAAATAAATCAAATAAAAAGGAAATAAATAAATAAATTAAAATAGCTAGTTATATTGTTTTTTAATAGTTTTTATTTTAAAAATATCACATTCAAAATAAATAAATAAATTGTTTTTACCTCAATTCAAGTTCCAAATTTGAGAGATTAGTGCAATTTCTTAAATCAGAAACTAATACTGATTCATATCCATCACCAATCTAATTTCCTCTTTTTAAATATTGAAGAAAAATAGTTTATGTGAAAAAATGAATAAAATATATGAAATAATAAGAAATGAATTAACAATAAAAGTTTAAAATTAAAAAATAAATGAGTTAAAATTACAAATAAAGTAAGACGAAAAAAAACTCAAGTATTTATTATTAAAAAAATCAAGTAAAAACTAAATAAATTAAAAGATATAGTTATATTGTTTTAAATTCATTTTTCTATTAAAAAATATCATAATCCAAAACAAATAAACAGTTTTTACTGAAGACCAAGTGTCAATTTAGAGAGATTAGTGCACTTTCCTAAACCAGAGGTTAAACCTGATATACCTTTAGAACCAATTTCATTTCCACTTTTTAAATATTTAAGAAAAAATATTTAGTTAATAAGTTAGTCAGAATCAAAAAATGAATAAAAATTATAAAATAATTGATAAAATCAAAAGTTGATTATTCAAAAATGAGTTAAATTAACAAACAAATAAATAAATAACACAAGAAGAATAAAAAAATAAAAAATAAATAAAATAAAAAGCTAATAAATAAGTTAAAAGAGTTATAGAATTTAAATTTATTGTTTTAAATTAGTTTTTATAATTTTAAATATCGCAATCCTAAACAAATCAATCTCTTTTTACTTAAGGTGTAGTTCCAATTTTGAGAGATTAGTGCACTTTCCTAAGGCAGAACCTAAGCCTGATGCACCTTCATTATCAATTTAATTCAATCTTTTTAAATATTGAAGAAAAAATATATATCTAATTAGTTAGCTAGAAGAAAAAAATGAATAAAAATATTAAATATTAATAAATGAATCAATTTATAAGAAAAGCAAAATTTAAAAATAAAAAAATGAGTTAAATTAACAAAAAAAAAAAAAAGAAATAAGTAAATAAACAAATTCCATAAAACCCCTTTTATGATGGTGAAGAGAATTGGAGAGAAATAGCTTTTTTAAGAAAATAATTACTCCTCACTTTTTCCGATAAAGTGAAAAGCAAGAGGCTAAGTTTCAGGGTATTACGGTAAATAAAAAATATAAGCAGGATAAATAAATAAAAAATAAATCAAATAAAAAGCTAATAAATAAGTTTAATAGAGTTAGATATATTGTTTTAAATTCGTTTTTATTATACAAAACAAATAAATAGTTTTTACCCAAGGGAAAGTGTCAAATTTGAGAGATTGGTACACTCTCCTAAACCAGAACCTAACGCTGATGCACCAATTGCGCCAATTTAATTAGCCCTTTTTAAATATCAAAGAAAAAATATAAATTTTTCTAGTTAGTTAGAATTAAAAATGAAGAAAAAATATGAAATAATAAGAAATGAATGAATTAATAAAAAAAGCAAATATTGAAAATTTAAAAATGAATTAAATAAACAAGTAAAGACAGAAAGAAAAAAAAGCATAAACTGTATAAAAAAAAGAAAAACTAAATAAATAAATACCAACATAAAATAAACTAGTTAATTTTATTTTTATAAATTAATATTTTTTTTCAATTCCAAAATCCAAACAAATAAACTATTTTTACATAAGAGAAAGTGTTAAACTTGAGAGATTATTGCACTTTCCTAAACCAGAACATAAGGCTGATGATCCAATTGCCCCAAATTTAATTAGTCCTTTTTTAAATATAGAAGAAAA